TATGGTTATCGGATCGATATCGCTGAGTCGTATCAGACTCAGTTGATTCTTTGAATTGTAAGGATATGGATGTTGTTCGTTTTCTTGTTAGTTTGAAACCTAAGTGAGCTTATCCATGCCCAAATCTTGGGTAGCTCCAGTCTTCCATTTTTGCTCGAGGTCTTTTCTCATTTATAGCATTTTACTTTATCTATTGACTATTCAACTTCAGGCATTGATCATGGCTCTTCTGTTGATCGCTCAGCTCTTGTAGTAATCCTCGAGGTAGGGGTGGCAATCGTGGCGGGTCATTACGGGTTTGTGTCGAGTAGTAGTCAACCCTAACCCAACCTGTTTAATTAATCGTGTCGTATCAATTGACTAGTTTATTTTCGTGTCAGACTCGTGTACGGATTCGTATTCATGTTGACCCATAGAAAATATCGAATAAAGAACTTAATGCTAAGATTTAATTCTCAGATTCTATTATCAACTAATTGAATCTATGCTCATATTTTTTCTATAAATTAAAATTTTAACTTAATAAGCATAACAATTATAATGAGTAAAAAAAACTCTTTTTTGTACAATAATTATGTCAATATTTAATAAACAATAACAAATATTTAGCATTTTATTTATATAAAATTAGTTAAACGTGTTAATCGTGACAATTTCGTGTTTGACACTAACCCAATTTATTCATTATTCATGTTTACAGGTCGTGTCATTTACGGGTTCATGTGGAGAAATAATCAACCCTAATCCCACTAATTTCGTGTCAAGTTAAAGTCATGTTTTTGTTTTGTGTCAGAAATTATCATCTCTAACTCGATGTGCCCGTGGCAATCGTGGTGGTCGTGATGGTTGAAGGGCCCATAGTGGAGGCCGTGGAGGTCGTACTGACACTCCTTTATGTACTCATTGTGGTCGTACTAGCTACACTGTTGATTATTGTTAGGATATACATAGAAATCCGTTTGGTATTGCTAATTAGGTCTTCTATCAGAACGATACTTCCTCATTCTCTGCACCACCATCTTGCTGGCCTCCTCCTGATTCTGAGTTAGTTAATATTACACAAGAGTATATGCTCAGTTCATGTCTTAGCAATAGGCAATTCCATGTTCCTCCATTGCTACTTTTGTTCAGTTAGGTATCACTTCCACTCTTTTGTTGTTCACCTGTAGTCCCTAGATCATAGATTCTGGCGCTTTTGATCACATGATAGGTTCGTCTGGTGTCTTTTCTAATTATTATTCTTTTTTTTTTCCTCATAGTGTTACTTTTGCTAATGATATTTTCTCTAAAGTTTCAGGTTAGGGGACTACTTAAAATGGTGTGGCTGAGCGTAAGAATCGTCATCCGTTGGAAGTGACTCGCACACTTTTATTTCAGATGAATGTTCCTCAAAGCTTTTGGAGTGATGTTCTTACTGCTTCTCATCTCATTAATCGTATGCCCTCTTTTGTGTTAAATGGATAAAGTCCATATTCCGTCCTTTTTTTTAATTCACTTTTATTTTTCTTACATCCTAATGTCTTTGAGTGCGCATGTTATGTTCACAACTTGGATTTTAAATTTGATAAACTTGACCCTCGTGCTACAAAATGTGTCTTTTTTGGTTATTCTTGTACACAAAAGAGGTATCGTTGTTATAGTTCCCCATTTCGCAGACACTTCACTAATGCTAATGTCACCTTCACAGAATCGGTCCGATATTTCTTAGCTCTTATTTCTCCTTTGGAACTTGGGCAGTCACCTCTCTCTTCACCTCTACCTTTACCATCTGTTACTCTGCTGCCTACTATGCTACCCCCTGTTGCCTCGCTCCATTTATACTCTCTACTTCGAGATCATCGACCGAAGTGCCCCTCTCATCTTCCTTGCCGCTTTTTGATCCTAGTTCTTCATCTACTTCTAACTCAACCCATTGCTCTTGGAAAGGTACTCTGTTTTGTGTTTCTAACCATCCTATTTCTAATTTTGTTTCTTATGCTGCATTACGTGGAATCTTATTTCCTTACCCCTGGTAACAAGACTGTTGGTTGTTGGTGGGTGTATACCGTCAAGTTTAATTTCAATGGTTCTGTTGAGCGTCTCAAAGTCCGCCTTGTTGCCAAAGGTTTTACTCAAATTTATGACGTTGATTATGAGGAGATATTTTCTTTTGTTGCAAAGATTTCCATATCTGTCTATTTTCTTTTAGGTGTTAATCTTTGATTGACTCTTGTTTCAGCTCGATGTAAAAAATGCCTCCTTCGACTGTGACTTGGTTGAGGAAGTCTACATGGAGCAGCCACTTAGGTTTGCTGCTTACGGAAAAAATTATAAAAGTGTGTGCCAGCTCAAGAAATCTCTGTATGGTTTCAAGCAGTCATTGAGGACGTAGTTTGGTAAGTTTTCAGAGGTAGTTTTGGAATTTAGTCTTCTTAGATGTCAGACAAACCATTCTGTTTTTCACAGCACATTGATGTAGGGTACATTCTCCGGGTGGTTTATGTATTGGTAATGATTTTGAGCAAAGTTAAAAATCTTCCTACAAGACCTATTTCATACTAAAGACCTAAGAAAATTCAGGTACTTTTGGGTACTTAAGTTGACAGATCTAAGTAGGGCATTTGTTTGTCCCAAAGAAAATATATACTTGACATTCTAAAGGAAGCTGGCTTGCTAGGTGGTAAACCAATCGATGTTCCTATAGATCTAAATCAAAAGTAGTTGATGAATGATGGTATATTGTTTGAACATCTAGGTGGGTATCGTTGGTTGGTTGGTTGGGAGCTAAATTATTTCACTGTTACCCGACTAGATATTGTTTATGCAGTTAGTGTTTTGAGTCAGTTTATGGGATGTCCTAGAGTACCGTATTGGGATGCAGTCATTCGCATTCTTCGATACCTCAAACGTGCTTGTGCTCCTGGACTTAAGTTGATATATCGAGTTAATGAGCATCTTCGAGTGGAAGGTTTTATATATGCTGATTGAGTTGGGTCTCCCTCAGATCGAAGATCAATTACTAATTGTTGTACATTCTTGGGCCTTAGACACGTAATGGATCTTGGAGTACTATTTTTGCATCTCCGTTTCTCTTGGCTATATGGTTCATCCAGGAGAGAGATCAGAGGTAACATTGTTACTTGGAAAATTAAGAAACAATCAATAGTAGCATGGTCTAGTGCTGAGGTTAAGTATAAAATAATGACACATAGAGCTAGTGAGTTGACATGGTTATTACACTTTCTTCAAGAAATTAGTTTTCTATTTCAACTTCCTTTACAGTTGTTTTGTGGTAATTAGATAGTTCTTCATATTGCTGCTAATCTTGTATTTCATGAGAGGACCAAACATATTANCTTTCTTCAAGAAATTAGTTTTCTATTTCAACTTCCTTTACAGTTGTTTTGTGGTAATCAGATAGTTCTTCATATTGCTGCTAATCTTGTATTTCATGAGAGGACCAAACATATTAAAGTTGATAGTCACTTTATTCAAGGCAAAATACTAGATGGAGATATGTAACACCATTTGTGAAATTTGAAGGTCAGTTTGCAAATATTTTCACCAAAGCATTGAGTTACACTCGTCTTACAACTGTTTATTCCAAACTGGGATTTTATGATATATATACTTTAGTTTGAGGGGGAGTATTGAGAGTATTATTTTTATATATTGTTATTCTTTTGTGTTTTATTACGTAATTATAAATACAAGTTGAGTGTGAGAGGTAGGGTAAGTTAACTTCCTCTCTGTCTCTCTCATATTGAGTTCATTCTCTCCATCCCTTTGAACTTAATAGAGAGAAATGCTAGAATTTTCAATGACCGTTCTCTTCCTTCTAAATTAGTATAAGAACGATGGATTTTTATGGCTTCACTTTGGACCAAAGCTACCGAGTTTTAGAGGGTTGCTTTTGTCGGATCTTCAATTGGATGACAACTTTGCTTTAGTTTTATTTTATGTTTGTGTTGGCATTTTTTTTCCTATGTTATTTTGCTTTACTCATTTTCTGAGGATCCGTTGTCCTCAACATTGTATTAAGCTCTTGATTCCTTTCTATAATAAAATTCTTCTTTTATAAAAAATAAATGACAGTTTTTAGTATGTTGAATATGTTTCTTGGTACACCATACTTGATGTATCTATATTCTGTCATTTGTTTATTTTTTTGGTGAATCGCAGAATACTTACAATGTTTCCAAGTTATTTTCTTCTCTTGGGACATTTAGGTTGTTTTAGTCGGCTCTCTAATAATAAAGAGACATATGAGATTAAAAATTTATTAATTAGTTGCATTGCAATTATTATGTTCCTTCTCTTTTTATTGGGCATAGTTTCTTTTACTGGGTCAAAGTTCATAGAACCCGCCTATTGGGCATAGTTTCTTTTACTGGGTCAAAGTTCATAGAACCCGCCTACTAGTGGAATTCAAAAGAGAGCTTGTTCCTGCCAACCCACGAAAATGGATAATTAGTCAAGAAAGCTCGAATGAGGAACGTGAAAATTTGATTAGGTGTTGAGCCTTGACGTCTTCGCTTGGCCTTTTGAGGGCAGGGAGACTTTCGAGGATAATTACAGCGCACTCTCCCACTCAAAGAAGGGTCCAAGCCATATACTAAAGTGGGTTTGATTTTTGTACCATATCGACATCATTTTTGCTGTCTTTGTTTTTGAGTTTTGAAGAGACAATGAATTAAATGTATTTACACTTGTTGGGGATGCTTAAATTTGAATAACTAACCCTTTAATTGAAAGGATTTACTTGTAGGGGTTGTTGAGAATTTTCTAACATCGACTTTTGATTTTGACCCAAAAAAAATAAACACAACTTTGATGAGGTTATGACCTGTTTCGAAAACAGATGAAAACAAATACAAAATTTGAGAATTATTCTTTCAAAACATTAGTCAAAATATACCAAAGCATCTGGAAACATTTCAAAACAATTTTGTAAATGTGTCGAAACAATACGAAAGACTTCGGAACATTATAAAATACCTCGAAATATTAGAATTTTGATTTCATCAATGATTCGTTTTGGTTTTCTTGAAAATAAAAACGTTTCGGCTATTTCGAAACGAAATTTTAATCCTTGGTCCCAAAATAACATTTCTACTCTTCCCAAATTATTTTTACTAAAATTTTCTTACTAAATCACCAAATTGCCTCCTTACACACTGTGCCCCAAGAAGTTAAAAAACTTGCGCAGAGGACATTTTCATCTCCACCATCTCCTCTTACTAATTCAATCACCCACATTTATTTGATAAACTACATTTGGTATGGAATTTGGTATTCATGTCTTTACTTGGCCCCAAAAACTTGTCTTGACTTTTCAAATTGGACATTATTTTGGGACATCACCAAATGGAAAGAGGACCTATTTTAGTGGGATGGATTTAGTACCAGAGTTTTCATTTTGCTATGACATTGTTATATTTCATTTTTCTCATCATACTCACACCAGTGAAAAATTGAGCAATTATGCTTATATTTCCCTTTAATTTGGATTAACAAGTTATAAATTTATCTTCTGGCTTTAAAAATTGTATGCCACATCTCTCAACCTATCTAATCTCTACTTCATTTGTGACTATCCTTCTCTTCGCTTTATTCAGCTCCTATAAAGTCACATTTTTGGATCCACAAGCCGTTTTTTTAATGCAAATCATCTATTTTTCAGTTCCTATATAATAAGCTCAAAACTTAGTGATAGCTGCATAAGTAGCCTTGAGGAATTTTATGTATTTAATCAAGGTTGATTGTTATGCATTTCGTAACTTGGAATGTTAATGTAAAGATAATTAGTGGGCAGACTATTTTTCCTAGATACTAAACACTATTCTGAAGTCTAAGCTTGGACATACATTGCTACAACTAAATTTATCTCCAAGAGCCATCCCGTGTGAAACAAGGTTGGTTATCCAAAATTATTAATTATTCGAAGACATCAACTTAATATTAATAGTTTGGGGGACTACTGAATTTTATACTGGTCCATGGAAAATTTTGCTGCTTGTATTTGTTTCTTTTGCCTGGTGGAGTGTAACCACCAATGTATGTTTTTTTGAACTTGCTCATTTCCTAGTATAACCCATAACAATAAACAGTCTATTAAGAGTCATCACTGATATCGCAGTCTATTCCTTTTATAGCTGATGCTTAAACAGTTATCTAAGGGTGTGTTAGTTTTTTTGTTTTCTACCATCCTTCCAAACTGGACTTACAATTAGTTTGAGATATATAAAAAGGATGTATCGAGTATTCCCAGTCATTATGCATGGGAATTGAGTATTTTCTCTTCCATGATAGGTTGTATTTGAGGATCTGTTTTCCAAGTATTTTTTATCATTCTTCAGCTGGGGGCAATTATCGCAGTAGCTACTATTCATCTCAGTTTGTGTTTAAACTTGAAATATTCATTTAAACTCAGATAAATGCAAGCCTTTTTTCTCCTTTTGGACATGTGTATGTGATACTTGACATGATTTCTCTACATGGGGTTGCAGCTTAGGAAAATGCTTGATCTTCTGGTGCATGCATCTCAGTGTCAGTGTCGTTCCTCCCTTTGCCAGTATCCAAACTGTCGCAAGGTGAAGGGGCTTTTCCGGCATGGGATGCAATGCGGAACACGTGCCTCTGGAGGCTGTGCTGTCTGTAAGAAAATGTGGTATCTCCTTCAACTTCATGCCCGAGCATGCAAAGAATCTAAATGCCATGTACCACGTTGCAGGTCCATCTCTCTCTCTCTCTCTCTCTCTCTCTCTCTGTTTTTAATTACTAAAACTAAAAATATTCGTTCAGAGACTTGAAGGAACACTTGAGGCGGCTTCAACAACATTCAGATTCCCGGCGAAGGGCTGCTGTAATGGAAATGATGAGGCAACGAGCTGCTGAGGTTGCTGGTGAGGTTGCTGGTAATGTGGAATGACCATGTTGTACAAATATAAGTGGCCGCTCTGGATAAAAGTTCCCTCAATGCTCTGTTAGTAGGATGACACTGGGCATCAACTGCAGAGGTGGATTTGTATCTTTCGAGATGGTGAAAAATTGCAGGATGTTGATTGATTATCACTCGGCAAATGCCTTCATTCATTTCTTCTACAACTAAGCTCCATCTTAAAGTTCGTTTGTCAGAGCTGGAGCTGGCCGTGACGGAGAAGAGCTATAGATGTTTACGAGAGCGGAAGGGCACAGATACTGTCCTTTCTGTAGCTCAAACTTGATAATTCTTTGATTTTATTCTCTTTTATTGCTTCAGTGCCATCGTCAGATGGGCAATGGACCTCAGTGGACCCATTCTGTCGTAAATGTAAATCTTACAAGGAATTTGGGAAGGGGATCGTTTTAAATTATTATTATTTTTTTGTTGTGTTATTTTTTCATCCTTATTCCCTCAAGTGTTAATGCTTTCTGTAGGTTGTATTTTTACCTTGAGATGGAGAGAATGAATTGCAGGTACAAAATAACAAGAATTTGTTTCAATTAGTAATGCGGTGCTTAATTTATATATTATTGATGGTGGTGCCTATTGGCTTCTACACGGAAAAAGCTCAACTCTAAGCTACAACGAGGTGATGTTTGATAAAACTGAAAACTAATGATTGAAAGTGGAATGCTAAAACTTGAATTTGTGGACTATTAGGTGTTTACTAAAATTTAAATACCGAATTGAATTAAACTATTTGATAATTATACAAAGTTGTTTTTTTTTTTTTTCACCAGTGTAGTTTGGAAAATGTAGTTCCCCAACGTCCAATTGCACCATAATAACAAGTTGCACTGTATAGCGAGAGGAACAATGATAACTACTCAAAGTTGATATCTGAAAATAAATTTATTTTTAATTTTATCATTTCACTCTTTATTTTAAAAATATTTATAAAATATATTTTTATCTTATAAAAAATTGCAATATATCAAATCAGTTTAATTCATAACATTAATTATAATCACTATTTTTTTAACAAAAATATTAGACTATATATAGTGTATGTGTGTAGCGTGAGTGTGTATACATGTGCAGTGTGTATGTGTGTGCTTTATGTATTATGCGTGTGTAATTATGTGTGTATGTAAGTGATGAAGAAGAAAAAGGAAGAATTAACTTTACCTATATGTGTGTGATCATTGAAGAAGACGACGGGAAAAAAGATGATGGTGAAGAGGATGGATAAGTTAGGAGTTTTGAAGAGAACAATTAGAGTTTTAATAGGATTGTGAAATATATTGGTGTAAAATTGTTATATTATCAATATTATTAAAAATATTTTTACTAAGCGCTTTTAACTTTTAGAATTAAGTAAGAAATCTCCTACTTAATATTTTAGCTTATTTTTAAAGAGTACTTAATTTATTAAAAATATTTAAATTTTAGTTATCAAACGAGTTTTTTTATTAAGTGTCGAATACTTTTATTTTAGGTATTGAATTTGGGTTAACAAATGATGAATAGTTAAAATTAGCATTTTTCTATGCTTTACAAAGACTAATTATGCTTTGATGGAGTTTAAATGATGACATTTCAGGAAAAAATTGTACAAAGGCCTGAAGTCAATGAATACCAAACTTTCAAGCAACACCCATGTGTTTTGGAAGAGAATTAGAGGAGGAAGAAGCAAAGCATCCACGTTCGAACGTCATCTTGAAATAATTGAGGGCTCCCAGGAGATTGCTAGGGTGATGGCACATGGTGTGTTGTAGCTATTCTCTGAGAAAAAGAACAAAGAGCTACTTGAGTACCACGTTCGAACGCCAATACACGTTTAAACACCCATCTTGAATTATTTGAAAACTCCCAGAAGATTGCTAGGGTGATGACACATGGCATGCTGCAGCTCTTCACTGTGAAGGAAAAAAGTCACTTGAGTATTACGTTCAAACTCCAGTCAGCGGTCGAACGCCTATCACAGAAGACAGTACTCCACATTCCAACCCTATCCCACGTTCGAACGTATTCTTCAGACAGGCTGCAAAATGATTGGATTTTCCATCTGGATTTTGTGGCATTCACTTAGACTTAAAACACTTGAGTCTAAACTTTTAGCTCCTCCTCCTTGCCTATAAATACCTCCTATTTGGACTTGTAAAGGGGAAAGATATGGAGATCTTTTGGAAGAGGAAGAAATTCTCCAAAAGTAACTAGTTTTTTCTACTTTCATTATTAGTTTCATTAGCTTCCACTGTAAAAATTTCTTTCTTCACTTAGAGGAGTAAACATCTTCCACCTTTCTAACTCTCTTGTAGCCTTGAAGGGTGAAAAGTGATTCACTCATTTTTCGTGGAAGATAGGATCATTGTGTAGTTTGTTTTGTCTTGTAAACTCCTCTACTTGGAGGGATGAGAATTATACACTTTTTTAGCTTTTTCAAAGCCATGAAGAGTGAGTAGTTTCTTATTCACTCTTTAGTAAAAGGTGATGAATATGTATAAATCGTTCGGAAGTTATATTTGTGCATTTCTTTTATGCTTAATACTTTATTTTTTGATTGCTTATTAAATGATTGAATGCATCTACCAAAACTAAGGTACTTTATACAATTATGAGTCCTTTCTAAGACAAGATGACTCTTGGCATAGGAGGATTCATTGTTTCTTTGTAAGTACTCCAACTAAATTTTCATGACTACATTTTAATTTTCACTATTATTGTGCTTCAACTAAGAATGGAATATGAACACAATAGTTGGATGATTGATAGAATTACTTGCTTGTTTGTAGATGAGTTGAGTTTCGGCACTGACAATTCTTGTAAATCTCTACAAAGACATCGGAACCATATTCTTAATTTTCACAATCCATCTTTATCCTCCAATTAATATGTTGTTGACATAGAGGTTAATTGAGTTCTCAAACACAAATATAACAACCAGATGATTAACTACATGTTTAGATCCTCGAGCTAAAAGGGTGACTTTACATTTGAGAGAATATTATATTTTGTCTAGAAAATCCCTTTTGAGAGAATCTTATATTCTGTCCAAGAAATTCCATAAACATCATAACTTCAAAATCTCAAGAGTTCTAGTCACTTTGTTCTCTGTCACTATTTACTTCGAAACACCAACATTTGTTCCATGTGAATTCGACTTTGGACTTACTGGATTATAATTACAACTTAACCGCCTGCACTAGGGTATATACATTTCGGATCAAGTCAACAAACACACTCGAAATCTTTGGTTGCACTACTCCTTTCGAAAAAAGTTCGTGTTGTATATCACCCCAAACGAATTCCCAAAAATAATGCTTATATTGCCACTTCTGCCATTTGGTGAAGTGTGACGTGCTTGTTTTATGTAATGGTGTATTATATGCAGATCATGGGAAAAATGGGATTTATAACTAATTCCTAAACATCTTCTTGGGATTCAGCTAATGTAATTTTTTTTTTGTTTAATTTCTTGCACAATCCTCCAACAGGAAAGTAGTGTAATGGCATCCTCAACTACTATTGGTGGAGGGGAAACACTAGACCTACGTTTCGATAGCAACATTTGTGGTTGTCGATGAAAAGTGATAATAAAAATTGTTGGATTAGAAAAACCAACAAAATGTCGATTGTATTATACCTGTGAGACTAAGGGTTGCCTATTTTGGGCTTGGCTATTCAATTGCTGCTACATAGATGACCAGTGGAGCTGTTGTATCTCCTGGAAACCACCTAAATGAAAGGCCATTAATTGAAGATGTTGAAAATACCTCAAGTTTAACCACAAGGATTATGCTGCTACTTGAAGAGAAACATGAGAATTTGACGACAATGTTTAAGGTAGGGTTTATTTTATGTGTTTATGAAACTGTTGGTGGTGCTGTGGAAGAAGTGAATTGTGTAGCGTGGAAATGAAATTATGAGTTTATGTAGTTTTGGAAACGAAGTTCTGACTGTTTTTTGAAATTAAATTATGTTTATGTGCTATGGAAGAAATTATGAGTTTTTACTTAACGCAACTGCATAAATCGCTACACAATGTTATTGGGTAAATCACTGCATAATTCATTGCCTACTACCAACCAAAATGAACAAAATAGAGTTGGTGGCAATTTCAAAAGAGTTACACTATGTTTGGTACATGGTATTAAGCTTTAAAAATGGAATGAACATTTTATAGGAATGTCTATTCTAATGTTTGGTTTACAGAATTTAAAATTTATTCTTATTCCGAAGGAATCACTAATACCACAAATTATGGGATTAGGCATTATCAAATCCAACGTAGTATTCTCCATTCCCGATCACTCGATAATAACCCAATCCATCTGGAAAAAAACCCGATCGCTCAAATCTTTGGTTTGCTCTCAGTCTCTCTCATCTCATCTCGTGTCTCCTCTCTCTCTCTCGCACACTCTCATTAGATCTGCATCTCTATCTCTCTCTGAGATCTGAGACTCCATCTCTGTGGAGGCTCGTTGCTATCAATCTCTCTGAGCTCAAATCTAACACAATTTTCAGGTAATTTTTAGATCTAACCTAGAATTGTTGAATTTTGCAATTTTCTTCAAAAAAATTTGTCCGAAATACACGTTGACCTCTCTTTTTCCACCTCTTGCACAATCGCGAATGTCTCAATTTTGTGGGATTTCATTTGATTGGTTGGATTTGTTCCAACTAGGTGGGTTTATGGAGAGAAAATGTTTCACCGTGTGCATTGGGGTGTGTGATTTTGGTGACATGGTGGTAGGTGCTGGGGTGGTTTTGCTATCGTAGATGAACAGAGGCGGTATGGCATGATGTGCAGTGATAGAGTCTTGTGATGGTGTGTAGCGATGGAGCTGTGCATCCCAACTCTCCACTTTCATAGTCCTCGCTCTCCCTCTCTCTCTCTATTTCCAATGTTTTTCTAATTTTTGGTTTAATTATTGTGGGATTTCATTTTGGCTCTTATTGAGTTTTGGTGGCGACTGTGTTGTTGTGGAAGTGGATGTTGGTGGTGGTATGGGTTTGCTCGAATTGGGTTATGCTTTGAAGGTGTTTGAGAAAATGTCCGACAGAAGTATGGTTTGCTAGATTTCTATAATTTTATACCCCTTAAAGGTATAAAATTATTCCAGAAAATGGTGGACTATGTATTTAGCAATTTCTAATAAGTAATATGTAGCATGCAAGCTAGATGCAGGCAAACATGGTTGTAACACACCACATTTGTATTTTGTGGTTGCTTTTTTTGCATTAGAATTATGTATAGCTCTATTTATTAGCACTTTAATTTGATTGTGTATTGACCTTATTTCAATAAGAATAGTTTGAAAAAATGGCATCTTCAAGTCAAGTGGAGTCACAAGGTCTGGGTAAGAATAAGAGGAAGTGGACTGCTGATGAAGATGCTAAATTGATTGAGACCCTTTTTGGAACTAGTTACCTCCGGAACACATCGAGCTGATAATGGGTTTAAACCAGGATATTTGAATGTCATTGAGCAATCCTTGCTAGAGAAGCTGCCGGACAAAGGAATAAAGGCCAAACCACATATTGAGTCATGAATCAAGGTTTTAAAGAGGGATTTTTGCATTTTTCGTGACATGCTTAACGAGATTCATNATTCATTTAAACTCAGATAAATGCAAGCCTTTTTTCTCCTTTTGGACATGTGTATGTGATACTTGACATGATTTCTCTACATGGGGTTGCAGCTTAGGAAAATGCTTGATCTTCTGGTGCATGCATCTCAGTGTCAGTGTCGTTCCTCCCTTTGCCAGTATCCAAACTGTCGCAAGGTGAAGGGGCTTTTCCGGCATGGGATGCAATGCAGAACACGTGCCTCTGGAGGCTGTGCTGTCTGTAAGAAAATGTGGTATCTCCTTCAACTTCATGCCCGAGCATGCAAAGAATCTAAATGCCATGTACCACGTTGCAGGTCCATCTCTCTCTCTCTCTCTCTCTCTCTCTCTCTGTTTTTAATTACTAAAACTAAAAATATTCGTTCAGAGACTTGAAGGAACACTTGAGGCGGCTTCAACAACATTCAGATTCCCGGCGAAGGGCTGCTGTAATGGAAATGATGAGGCAACGAGCTGCTGAGGTTGCTGGTGAGGTTGCTGGTAATGTGGAATGACCATGTTGTACAAATATAAGTGGCCGCTCTGGATAAAAGTTCCCTCAATGCTCTGTTAGTAGGATGACACTGGGCATCAACTGCAGAGGTGGATTTGTATCTTTCGAGATGGTGAAAAATTGCAGGATGTTGATTGATTATCACTCGGCAAATGCCTTCATTCATTTCTTCTACAACTAAGCTCCATCTTAAAGTTCGTTTGTCAGAGCTGGAGCTGGCCGTGACGGAGAAGAGCTATAGATGTTTACGAGAGCGGAAGGGCACAGATACTGTCCTTTCTGTAGCTCAAACTTGATAATTCTTTGATTTTATTCTCTTTTATTGCTTCAGTGCCATCGTCAGATGGGCAATGGACCTCAGTGGACCCATTCTGTCGTAAATGTAAATCTTACAAGGAATTTGGGAAGGGGATCGTTTTAAATTATTATTATTTTTTTGTTGTGTTATTTTTTCATCCTTATTCCCTCAAGTGTTAATGCTTTCTGTAGGTTGTATTTTTACCTTGAGATGGAGAGAATGAATTGCAGGTACAAAATAACAAGAATTTGTTTCAATTAGTAATGCGGTGCTTAATTTATATATTATTGATGGTGGTGCCTATTGGCTTCTACACGGAAAAAGCTCAACTCTAAGCTACAACGAGGTGATGTTTGATAAAACTGAAAACTAATGATTGAAAGTGGAATGCTAAAACTTGAATTTGTGGACTATTAGGTGTTTACTAAAATTTAAATACCGAATTGAATTAAACTATTTGATAATTATACAAAGTTGTTTTTTTTTTTTTTCACCAGTGTAGTTTGGAAAATGTAGTTCCCCAACGTCCAATTGCACCATAATAACAAGTTGCACTGTATAGCGAGAGGAACAATGATAACTACTCAAAGTTGATATCTGAAAATAAATTTATTTTTAATTTTATCATTTCACTCTTTATTTTAAAAATATTTATAAAATATATTTTTATCTTATAAAAAATTGCAATATATCAAATCAGTTTAATTCATAACATTAATTATAATCACTATTTTTTTAACAAAAATATTAGACTATATATAGTGTATGTGTGTAGCGTGAGTGTGTATACATGTGCAGTGTGTATGTGTGTGCTTTATGTATTATGCGTGTGTAATTATGTGCGTATGTAAGCGATGAAGAAGAAAAAGGAAGAATTAACTTTACCTATATGTGTGTGATCATTGAAGAAGACGACGGGAAAAAAGATGATGGTGAAGAGGATGGATAAGTTAGGAGTTTTGAAGAGAACAATTAGAGTTTTAATAGGATTGTGAAATATATTGGTGTAAAATTGTTATATTATCAATATTATTAAAAATATTTTTACTAAGCGCTTTTAACTTTTAGAATTAAGTAAGAAATCTCCTACTTAATATTTTAGCTTATTTTTAAAGAGTACTTAATTTATTAAAAATATTTAAATTTTAGTTATCAAACGAGTTTTTTTATTAAGTGTCGAATACTTTTATTTTAGGTATTGAATTTGGGTTAACAAATGATGAATAGTTAAAATTAGCATTTTTCTATGCTTTACAAAGACTAATTATGCTTTGATGGAGTTTAAATGATGACATTTCAGGAAAAAATTGTACAAAGGCCTGAAGTCAATGAATACCAAACTTTCAAGCAACACCCATGTGTTTTGGAAGAGAATTAGAGGAGGAAGAAGCAAAGCATCCACGTTCGAACGTCATCTTGAAATAATTGAGGGCTCCCAGGAGATTGCTAGGGTGATGGCACATGGTGTGTTGTAGCTATTCTCTGAGAAAAAGAACAAAGAGCTACTTGAGTACCACGTTCGAACGCCAATACACGTTTAAACACCCATCTTGAATTATTTGAAAACTCCCAGAAGATTGCTAGGGTGATGACACATGGCATGCTGCAGCTCTTCACTGTGAAGGAAAAAAGTCACTTGAGTATTACGTTCAAACTCCAGTCAGCGGTCGAACGCCTATCACAGAAGACAGTACTCCACATTCCAACCCTATCCCACGTTCGAACGTATTCTTCAGACAGGCTGCAAAATGATTGGATTTTCCATCTGGATTTTGTGGCATTCACTTAGACTTAAAACACTTGAGTCTAAACTTTTAGCTCCTCCTCCTTGCCTATAAATACCTCCTATTTGGACTTGTAAAGGGGAAAGATATGGAGATCTTTTGGAAGAGGAAGAAATTCTCCAAAAGTAACTAGTTTTTTCTACTTTCATTATTAGTTTCATTAGCTTCCACTGTAAAAATTTCTTTCTTCACTTAGAGGAGTAAACATCTTCCACCTTTCTAACTCTCTTGTAGCCTTGAAGGGTGAAAAGTGATTCACTCATTTTTCGTGGAAGATAGGATCATTGTGTAGTTTGTTTTGTCTTGTAAACTCCTCTACTTGGAGGGATGGGAATTATACACTTTTTTAGCTTTTTCAAAGCCATGAAGAGTGAGTAGTTTCTTATTCACTCTTTAGTAAAAGGTGATGAATATGTATAAATCGTTCGGAAGTTATATTTGTGCATTTCTTTTATGCTTAATACTTTATTTTTTGATTGCTTATTAAATGATTGAATGCATCTACCAAAACTAAGGTACTTTATACAATTATGAGTCCTTTCTAAGACAAGATGACTCTTGGCATAGGAGGATTCATTGTTTCTTTGTAAGTACTCCAACTAAATTTTCATGACTACATTTTAATTTTCACTATTATTGTGCTTCAACTAAGAATGGAATATGAACACAATAGTTGGATGATTGATAGAATTACTTGCTTGTTTGTAGATGAGTTGAGTTTCGGCACTGACAATTCTTGTAAATCTCTACAAAGACATCGGAACCATATTCTTAATTTTCACAATCCATCTTTATCCTCCAATTAATATGTTGTTGACATAGAGGTTAATTGAGTTCTCAAACACAAATATAACAACCAGATGATTAACTACATGTTTAGATCCTCGAGCTAAAAGGGTGACTTTACATTTGAGAGAATATTATATTTTGTCTAGAAAATCCCTTTTGAGAGAATCTTATATTCTGTCCAAGAAATTCCATAAACATCATAACTTCAAAATCTCAAGAGTTCTAGTCACTTTGTTCTCTGTCACTATTTACTTCGAAACACCAACATTAGTTCCATGTGAATTCGACTTTGGACTTACTGGATTATAATTACAACTTGACCGCCTGCACTAGGGTATATACATTTCGGATCAAGTCAACAAACACACTCGAAATCTTTGGTTGCACTACTCCTTTCGAAAAAAGTTCGTGTTGTATATCACCCCAAACGAATTCCCAAAAATAATGCTTATATTGCCACTTCTGCCATTTGGTGAAGTGTGACGTGCTTGTTTTATGTAATGGTGTATTATATGCAGATCATGGGAAAAATGGGATTTATAACTAATTCCTAAACATCTTCTTGGGATTCAGCTAATGTAATTTTTTTTTTGTTTAATTTCTTGCACAATCCTCCAACAGGAAAGTAGTGTAATGGCATCCTCAACTACTATTGGTGGAGGGGAAACACTAGACCTACGTTTCGATAGCAACATTTGTGGTTGTCGATGAAAAGTGATAATAAAAATTGTTGGATTAGAAAAACCAACAAAATGTCGATTGTATTATACCTGTGAGACTAAGGGTTGCCTATTTTGGGCTTGGCTATTCAATTGCTGCTACATAGATGACCAGTGGAGCTGTTGTATCTCCTGGAAACCACCTAAATGAAAGGCCATTAATTGAAGATGTTGAAAATACCTCAAGTTTAACCACAAGGATTATGCTGCTACTTGAAGAGAAACATGAGAATTTGACGACAATGTTTAAGGTAGGGTTTATTTTATGTGTTTATGAAACTGTTGGTGGTGCTGTGGAAGAAGTGAATTGTGTAGCGTGGAAATGAAATTATGAGTTTATGTAGTTTTGGAAACGAAGTTCTGACTGTTTTTTGAAATTAAATTATGTTTATGTGCTATGGAAGAAATTATGAGTTTTTACTTAACGCAACTGCATAAATCGCTACACAATGTTACTGGATAAATCACTGTATAATTCATTGCCTACTACCAACCAAAATGAACAAAATAGAGTTGGTGGCAATTTCAAAAGAGTTACGCAATGTTTGGTACATGGTGTTAAGCTTTAGAAATGGAATGAACATTTTATGGGAATGTCTATTCAAATGTTTGGTTTACAGAATTTAAAATTTATTCTTATTCTGAAGGAATCCCTAATACCACAAATTATGGGATTAGGCATTATCAAATCCAACGTAGTATTCTCCATTCCCAATCCACTCGATAATAACCCAATCCATCTGGAAAAAAACCCGATCGCTCAAATCTTTGGTTTGCTCTCTCAGTCTCTCTCATCTCATCTCGTGTCTCCTCTCTCTCTCTCGCACACTCTCATTAGATCTGCATCTCTATCTCTCTCTGAGATCTGAGACTCCATCTCTGTGGAGGCTCGTTGCTATCAATCTCTCTGAGCTCAAATCTAACACAATTTTCAGGTAATTTTTAGATCTAACCTAGAATTGTTGAATTTTGCAATTTTCTTCAAAAAAATTTGTCCGAAATACACGTTGACCTCTCTTTTTCCACCTCTTGCACAATCGCGAATGTCTCAATTTTGTGGGATTTCATTTGATTGGTTGGATTTGTTCCAACTAGGTGGGTTTATGGAGAGAAAATGTTTCACCGTGTGCATTGGGGTGTGTGATTTTGGTGACATGGTGGTAGGTGCTGGGGTCGTTTTGCTATCGTAGATGAACAGAGGCGGTATGGCATGATGTGCAGTGATAGAGTCTTGTGATGGTGTGTAGCGATGGAGCTGTGCATCCCAACTCTCCACTTTCATAGTCCTCGCTCTCCCTCTCTCTCTCTATTTCCAATGTTTTTCTAATTTTTGGTTTAATTATTGTGGGATTTCATTTTGGCTCTTATTGAGTTTTGGTGGCGACTGTGTTGTTGTGGAAGTGGATGTTGGTGGTGGTATGGGTTTGCTCGAATTGGGTTATGCTTTGAAGGTGTTTGAGAAAATGTCCGACAGAAGTATGGTTTGCTAGATTTCTATAATTTTATACCCCTTAAAGGTATAAAATTATTCCAGAAAATGGTGGACTATGTATTTAGCAATTTCTAATAAGTAATATGTAGCATGCAAGCTAGATGCAGGCAAACATGGTTGTAACACACCACATTTGTATTTTGTGGTTGCTTTTTTTGCATTAGAATTATGTATAGCTCTATTTATTAGCACTTTAATTTGATTGTGTATTGAC